CCCCAACAGGCCTTCTCATGGACAAATCCGGCCAGAGAACAGCAGGAGTATAAGGAAGACAAAACACGCCATGTGCACGCAGAGCTGTTCGCAGCAGTTGGTCAGAGAATGCCTCAGCCACCCCTGTGGAAATGTTTAGTTAAAGATCATTGGATTTTTCCATGCAAAATTCTGACTTTTAATCAATATTCCCTCCATACCTGTGTTTTATTTATTTTTATACATATGTGTGCACACACACACGCGTTGTGTGCTTGCCCTGTGAATTTTTCAAAGCACACTTCATGGGCTCTGTCCGGCATAGGGCTCAGTGGGCTGCCTGGTCACCCATCACCACACGCTGTTGCTGATCCATCACAGTCTCTCTTGCAAGTCTTCACACAAGGTGTCAATTTGTTATGGAAATTGTGTGTTTTCTGCCTAAAGTTCCAGCTGCCCAGTCTCAAAGATTGGATTTATCATAACGAGGAAACAGGCGTGTTTAGCAGTGAAGTTAACCGGTAGCTGCATTCTCTGGCTTTACTCTTGCGCTGGCATTTCCAGAGCAGCTTCCTGTGTATCACAAATAGGTGATTAGTCTGGTACCTTGTGATGCTGCTGAAAAGCAAACAATACTGACAGGTGCAGTGTGCAGGTGAAAGGAAAGAGCAATACTTATTCTGTAAGGAGGGAAAAGCAGTGGAGATGGGTAGGGAGCAAGGGCCGGTTTTCTCTCTAATTTTCTCAAATGTGTGCTCTTTTATTGTGTGAAGCCTGGCTTCTGTTACTTGTTTGACTTAATTGTTATTCCTGAGCAAAAGGCAGCCTGGCTGCTGAAAAAGAGGTGGACACAGTTGTGAGCTAAACAGGTGTTGCAGAGCTCTGTGCCTGGGGACACAGAAGACCTCTGCCTTCAGATTGCTGTTGTTTTGTCAGGTGCCCACTCATTTGACAGAAATTCCTGTGGCTTCAGGAGTGGTGTGATTTCACATTGTGGACAGAGTCTTTTGAATGAGTATCCTCTGTGGGAGGCATGGGTGGGTGTTGGAGTCAGGACTGAGGGTATCTTATCTGTGCTTCCTGCTCAAAGCCGCAGCGGAGTCACGGAGGCTGGTATCTGTGAAGGCTGCTGCTCGAGGGAGTCTCCCCTATCTCTGGGGAGACACCCTTCAAACAAGTTGGTTTGGGACAGTGCCACAGGATGAAATTCAACTCTCCGAAGGCTGTCTCTGCCTTCTCTTGAGTCCATGATCTGGTGTGGCCGTATGTGATTGAACAGCCATGCATTCATGCAAGGGGTAAACACACACTGAGAACACCAGTGTGTGAGGTGAGCAAGACAGTGACTCCGCAGAGGGATAGCTCTGCAGAAATGCTGTGGTGTGAGCAGGAGTAAATGGCTGTGCGTACAGATAAATACATTTGTTCTTACGTGCTGGACTGGGAACCCTGCCATATGAGGAAAGGCTGAGAGAACTGGGTTTGTTCAGCCTTGAGAAAAGAAGGCTTAGGAGAGATCTTATTGCTGTGTTCCAGTATTTAAAGAGTGGCTACAAAGATGGAGACTCCCTTTTTACAAGGAGTCACATGGAAAAGACGAGGGGTAATGGGTACAAGTTACTCCTGGGGATATTCCGATTGGATGCAAGAGGAAAATTTTTCACACTGAGAACAGTCAGCCATTGGAATAATCTCCCCAGGGACGTGGTGGATTCCCCAACACTGGAGACTTGCAGGATTCATCTGGGCAGGGTGCTGGGACATCTTGTTTAGACCGTGGTTTTTTCAAGAGTTGGGCCAGGTGATCCTTGAGTTCTCTTCCAGCAGTAACTTGTGTTGGCAGTCCTTCCTCATCTGCTGTGTTATAATAATACCCTGATGGTACTCTGCAGTCCATTGTGTAACAAGTATCATAGTCAAATGGTGTAGATTTTGTTGCTCTAAGCTGCTCAGTTAAGCTGGGTCAGTTTGCACAAGGTAGGTGTAAGTCCAGCCAATGTATTTGGTAAAACAAATGGCAAAAAACATAGAATGTTTTTGAAGAGTACTGTATTCTATATCGCAAAATTGGTATGATGGCCTTCTGTGGTTTTTATTTTTGTTTTTAAATGAATCACAAGGACAGAATAATTACCAGCGAGTCTGCACTGACATCCGTTCTCAGAAATAATTATACTAAAAATACTTTTCTAAATGGTAGCTAAAGAGCTCCTAACTCGCGTTTGGAGACAAGAAACGTAGAACTAATTAATGTTAGGCCAACAAAGAAAGATACTTCGCTTGCCTATTTGAATGAAATGCATCATGAGCTGTGCTGGCCAGTGATGCATAAAATATATGTCATCAAAGTTAATATTCACCATGCTTGTGTTCTCTAGGTCATCACACTATTTACATTGGGGTCCATGTGCCGAAGAGCTATAGGAGAAGGCGGCGTCATAGAAGAAGACCTGGGCACAAAGAAAAGAAAGAAAAGGAGAAAATATCTGAGAACTACTCCGACAAATCAGACGTAGAAAATGCTGATGAGACAAGCAGCAGCATCCTTAAACCGCTCAGTAAGTACTGGTGTCAGCTGTTACTCACTACAATGGTCTGTTGTTTAGTGATTTGCTCCTGATCTGATCATGAAGGAGGAAACTGGATCGATGAAAACAGTCATCTCATGTTGCGCAGGGTCAGGGTAGTCTTATTCAGTTGCTGTCAGATGGTTGCTGTGGCCTGGGAAAGGCCCAGGCTGGAGCAGACATTTCATCCCTCTGTATCACCTGAGTTTGCTCCTGAGTTAATGCCAGCCAGGAACAGGCCAAATTTTTAGAAGCAAATTGACACTGTGTGTAAAAAGATAGCAAGGAGACGCAAAGTCTGCGTACGTGCCTCGGTGGATCTATTGCAGCTTCTGCCCTGGCTCTCAGCATGTGCACCCTCTCCAGAAATCAAGCACCCCATGGTTTCAACGAGAAACAGCCTCGTAGAGCAGGTTGGTAAGAAGCACCAAGGCCACTGGTATAGGCTGTGAGAAACATATCCATTTGGGATTTGGCTTTGTTGTGTCAATAACTTATGGTGTCTTTTGCCTTCAGTAATTAATCAATTTTAAGTTTTGCAAACAAAAAGGAGAATAAAATGTAGCATTACTATATGTTTGAGTAACTGTAGGGGTTGAATATCTAAATTTTGGCAAGCAGATGAGGTTCATTTTTGATGCCCTGTACATACATTCCCACTGAAATCGTTAACCAGAGGAGAGAATCTTTATTTAGTGTCATCACTATGCAGCTCTTCAGTGACATTGGAGGAGACTGTCATGAAGTCCTGTTCTTGCTCTCTTCTCTGTTGCCCACGAGCTTGTTTTGAAATCTGGGGGGGAGACTGTGACAGCCTGCCGAAAAGGGAACATACTGACAGGGTTTGAATATAGGAGAACAGCCCAGGATATGATATAGCTCAGATTATTAAGGCTCATTCCAGATGGTTGGACTTTCAGTAAGCGACTTCTTTTTAAGTGGGGAAAATGCTTCCTGTACTAGAGAGAGAGAGGAGTAAGCACGGGTCCTACAGACTGATCTTTGATTGAAGAAACAATGATTTTTTCGGTTTGAAATTACGATGCTGCATAGTTGTAGTAGTTCCCTAGATGTGCCAAGGAAGTTTTCTTGTCAACGCTCTGAAACCAGGAGTTGGTTTTACACTGAAAGACATAATTACCTGTCTTCAAGAATTCTAGGTATTTTATGTTTTATTTTTGTATTTATTGTTCTTTGGCATGCAAGTGATCAGATCTAGAAGTTCCCTTTTGGCTTCTGGATGTATTTATATCCTAGGAGAATTGTTTCCACAGGCTATTTGCACCCATGGTTGAAAACCTATTTCTTCCATCAGGTTTTGATTTTCTGCATCTCATTTTGTTCATCGTTGTTTCTGTTTTGTGTCACTTGAAAAAGAGACAATAATTTTTTCCTCTGTTGTTTCTGCAGTTTAGTATGTTCTTGTCTGTTCTTCATCTGCCTGTAAAAATGTGCAGTGTTTTCATTTCTCTCTGAGAATTTTCCCATAGTCTTTGCCATGCTGACCTCTTTGCACTACGCATTTTTGGAATGAGATCGCTTAAATACCATGCAATATTCCAGGTGTCCCATGTAATAGCATTAATACCATATCATACATAACTTTTTCTGTATTGTTCACCATCTCGTGTCTAGATACTTTACCAGGTTCTTGCAGGGACTTGCTCTTTTGCTCTGATGGCCAGATCTTTTTATGAGCTGGCACAGTTAATTTAGAACACTGTAAAGGATAGGAGTAGTTCAGATTACTGTCTTGAATTTCCAAACGTTGAATTACATGTTCCCTCCTCTCCCCAGGTTTTTTCCCTTCTGAAACTCTTGTCTTCATAGCTGCCCTGAATTGTTTTCTACACTTTTTTTTTTTTTTTTTTGGCTTGCTAACAACCCCTTCTCTTCTAGTTCCGCGTATGTAATAACACCAGGCTTCCTACAGAAATTTCTGACAGTCTGCTGTTGACCTTCTCCATCATTTATAAATGGCTCTTGATTTTAATTTAGTTTTCTGTCTCTTAGGTGGTTGCTGATCTGAGACAGTTGTTGGATATTGAGACTGTGCCAGCTTTAGTTGACTCTTACCGGAACTTTTAAGGCTTTTTGAGGGTCTGCATGGCTTATGTGTGCCATGTATCCAGCTGCTGTCTTTGCTCTCTGTCATGGCAAGTGTGTCCAAGAGAAGACCAGCTCTCTTCAGACAAAGAGCTTGCCTCATCAGCTTCATCTTATTTTTGTTACTGGCAATCATGGCAAGAAAACTCAGTATAACCCTATTTTTTAATCTTACTGTTAACTGTAATTGAGTTAGGGGTGTGTGGTTAAAGTTCAGTTTCTAAAGAGCACTAAGAATATTAGAAACAAAGAACTGGGGTATTTTGTAAAGCAGTTTTGATGGAGTTGTGAGAAAGCTGAAACAAAATATCTTGCATCTATTTGAGACAGCTGCCAGAAGAGAGTATGTGACATAAGAAGCTGAAATATCTCGTAGGACTTAACCCTGTGGTTTAGTAGAGTGGGACAGGGTGGAGATGTTTGCTGTGGGGTAGGGAGGTGAGCTGTCAAATGGAGAGTAAGTGGCCAGGAAGGAGGGAGTGCTGGGTTTCACTTTTATTCTTTGGGGAGAGTAACATAAACTGAGCAAGAAGTGAAACACAGAGCATGGAGACAAGAAGACCTGACTGTAGAGAGTGAGGGTTAGTCTAACATACCTGAGGTTATTCTATGCTGATGGATGATTATAACGGGACTGCGTCTGTCAGAGCTAGGCAAGCTCTGCAGGGGCTTGCTGGATGTGCACGTGGGGTACACGGTCTTTTGATGTCGTCAGAAGAGGAAAAATAAAAGAAGTGCTGGGCACCAAGGAAAGAGGAAACCCTGAGCCTGCTGTACCGTCTTACGCAGCTCAGTGTCTTTCTCGTGAAGGGACCCAAGAATAGAAGAGCGAGGGTGTTGCAGTTCCCAGGATTAAGGGCTGCTGGGAGAGCTGTGTTAATGACCTTTGCATAACACTGCTTTGCACAAGGGCTGGCTGTAATCAGGGAATGTGCTAACCGCTAGTAAAGGTAGTGGATTCGTGCACGCTTCATGGATGTGTCAGGCTGAGGCTTGATGAATACTGTATTGCAAATATAATGTGTAGGACACTGTTTTCAGAAAGGCTTCAGAGGAGGTGATAGATAGGTGTATCTAAGTGTAATCAGATAACAAAATGGAAGCGCTGTTTATGTAGCTATTGGTGGGATGAAGGGACTGAACTGGAAGACATTTCAACCTTTTCCTTAGAACTGGAAGATTTTTGGATTGGTATATCCCGGGGTTTTTTACCGTTTTTTAAAACAAGCAAGACGCAATTTTAAATTAAGAAAACCCAAACATCTTGAGGAAAGGTACAATGCGTGTCATTCTGTAAAATCCAGAATTTTTATAACTCCTTCTCTTTGTTGACTTGTTGCAATTAGTAACTTTGCTAAGTATTAGGCTCTGTGAGTTCAGCTTGTTTATAATTAGTAGTTTATTTCATCTTCAAATATGAGGACAAGCATATAAAGTTAGATTTGCAAAATCTTTAATAATGTAGTTAAAGTATTTCCTAAAAGTTTAGGAAACTAGTTGATTGCCTCCGTTATCCTGAGAGCTTTTTTTTTACTGACTAGAAAGCTTTAAGACAGCTTTGATGTGATTCATCACTTCTGTTTCTTGATCTGTCTCAAAGGACCAGGAAGCCTAAGTCTAGATATCTTAACTGAAGATGATTCCTCAGCTGCTTTGGTGAAAACTCTGCAGTCAGGTTTTGACCAAATCTGGATTTGACTCACCAGGTCAAGCTGCTTGTCCCACAACAAGCGAACCTGAAAAAACATGTCTGTGGATAGACTCAACACGGTAAACAGGTCCATAAATGCAAAGCTTACCTGTACGGGTTTTGTTCCAGTTCGAAACTGGTCTAGCTGCACTTCTGTGTTTGGGAATTGGTGCGGTCTGGAAATGTCAATGGTTTTTTTAATCTGTGTCCTGTTCAGTCAAACAAGCCAACTGTGTGAGTTTATGAACAACCTTCAGCTCTCTCATCTGGAGAGAGTTAGGGAGATTGAACGTGTACAGATATGTTTTTTCCCAAGTAAAGCATTGCTTGGGAAAGATGCCTCCTTCAGAAGTCCAGACAGGGATATTCTCTGGTATGCTGAGGTGGAAGTATTAAGCCTATGTTCGCTCTGCAGAGCCCTTTTAGTATATTCCAGGCCTGCAGGGGCTGTCTCTGTGCTCCGAGAGAAAATTGGAGTTCACACCCTTGTTCTCAGGCAGGACTGCTGACACTGGTGCTAGCTGAAATGTGGCTTCCTTTAACCGCAGACTATTACAAATCCGTGTTCCAGGTGGAGTGTACCGGCACCTTATTTCTAAAAGCACCTCCTGTAACCAGCCTGGCCCTGGTTTCCAGTTATGATCAGTAAGAAGGAAACACTTTTTATCAGTTGTTATTCTGCACCATGCAGGAAGCTGGCATACAAGTATTATTGCATTACTCGTAAGTGGGCTTTAAATGCTCTCTTCCTGTCTGCCTGAAACACACCTAAGGGTTGGAACATAGGTAAAGATTTATGCTGTCAGAATGCTGCAGAAGGGGTGGGATAGCATATTGAGAGACAATGGTTAAAATGGGTTTTTCCGAGGAAACGTTTAGTGATTTTTGTAGTGCTAACGGCTGGAGTATATCCAATTGGTCTGTGCTGGTTAATCCACATAGTGGGGTGAAGGCAAGACTCAGCTGGATGGAGAAGAGAGATGATGGTGGAAAGCCACAGGAGGCTTATCAGCTGGCATGGGTAGAGGACCAAGCCTGCTTCTGCCTTCTCGGGTCAGCTGATTGCTTATCTCAATATGAAGCACATGCTGTAGTTTGCTGTTACTTGGAAGGGATGGAACAAGGAAGGCAGATAAAAGGTTCTTCTTCAGGACAGGGTGCGATCTGAATCCATTTCCCTCTTCCTCATTCTTTA